GTGATTTTTAGAGGGCTTGACCCTTGGGGGCACCTTAAGTCAGACATGTGGTAACAGCAGCACCAAAACAACAGCTCCTTTTTGGAACTTTAGGGCAATAAATCTGCATCTTGGCATATTTCTCGTGGAAGCAGTTGCAGGGCACAGACAGCATTGTCATTCTGCAGGCAGCACACCACAGCTCGAAACCTGCCCAGCAGAGCCAAGCGGGCAGCACACACCACAAGTAGGTCACAGGGAGCAGAGACTTCTCTATGCTTCCCCCAGCACTCAGCAGAGCAAGCTTTCCCTTCATGTTTTTGAATACTTCTATTTCCCTTCCCACACTTAAGGCTGGAAGACCTCTTGGGATCCAATCTCACATTTATCTCACATTTACCTTGTGCTGTCAGAATATCTTTGCCTTAAGGCAAGATCAGAGGAGGTCCAAGGCAAAGACAAGCAGGTCATAGAATCATTTGGTTGGAAAAGACCTTTGAGATCATCAAGTCCAACCGTACCTGTCCACTACTAAACCAGATCTCTGAGCACCTCATCTACCCATCTTTTAGATCCCTCCAGGGATGGGGACTCCACCACTGCCCTGGATAGACCACTCCAGTGTCTGATGACCCTTTCAGTGAAGAATTTTTTCCTGATAGCCAATCTAAACCTCCCTTGGCACAACTTGAGGCCATTAACTTGTGGTCCCATCATTCAAACTCAGAGTGGACCCACATCAGTCAAAAGCCTCAGCAAAGGATCCTGCAAAGCCAACACTGACCTCACCACTCACTTTGAAACCCTCCTGTCTGCAGGGTGCTCAGCACAGCTGGGTCCCAGCCTGGAACAGGGCCATCAGCCTGCAAAAGTGTCAGCATGGAGGACACGGGCTTCTTCTGGGTCTGTCTCTCCAGACTCACCAACATTTCCATTGAGTACCACAAACACCACAGCACGTGCTCAGTCTCAGCAGTTGTCACTGAATCAATGTGGGGAAGGGAGATGGACAGAGGGAGTCGCTGGGGAATGGATGCTCTAGTGCCTGCTTGGTGCAAACCCCAACTGCTCCAAAAAAACCCACTTGTCCATGGGGTTTCTCCAATACCCAGTAAGGAGAAGCTCACACTATGGTCCTTCATTAAGCAGAGGCATTAATAGCATCTCTTCTCCACTGCTGAGCAATTTGCACAAAAACTCTACGAATTCAGCATCTTTAAAACCTCTACTCCTGCATAAGAAAAAAAAAAAGGCAGGAGTTTCAAACAGGCTCAGAAGCAGCTGCAAAATGCTGGCTGCCTGCAAACAGGAGCAGTGCAGCTGGAGAAGGAAACTCAGCTTAGAAACAAGTTCTGATGGGTGGATCCCATAAGGGTGCTTTGGCTTTAAAGGAGGTTTCTGCCCTCCCAGTTCTCACTTTGACTTGAAATAAATAAATAAATAACAAGATCAGAGCCATCTTTGCCCCACACAGCTGCTGGGAGGAACACAAATTTCAGGCTCATTGCTGTTCTCCTGCCTGCTCCCAGTCCACATGCCCACAGCAGCATTGAAACATCTCCTCCCAGTCAGGGCTGTCATTCCCAAGCACAGCAGCACAGGCAGGAGCTCCCATGGTCTCCAGGCAGGAGTGCAGGCAGCAGCCCGAGAAGAGCTCCCCATGAAGACAAGCTGCACCCCAAGGAGTACACGCACCAGAGGACTGTCATGTACGAGCGGACTGTAATGCTGCAAATTAAGGGTCCATTTATAACCCTTTATTAATAAATGATTAATAGATACAGCCATATTTTTTAATAACTTACGATAAAAAGATGCTACGAAAAGCTTAAGCAAGACAGTCTTAACAGATGGTGCTATAAAGTGAATTATAACATGTACAGGAGCTAGTGCAAAGTAATGGATGTCCTCATTTAATAAAAAGAATCTGATTTTATGCAGCAACTTCCACGCTTGAGGCATCTCAATACACTTTAATGAGCCCCTGTGGCCTCAGCAATAGCTTGCATGCAGCCACGGACATCAGATGCTGTTTTAGTAAGAGAGTGGATGTTGGTCAGGACACTGGGGTTACTCCACAGTCTTGATTTTTAACCTTTCCTTGGACAGCTACCAAAAAACCAGACAGAAAGGTCTGAAAGATGCCACCTCCTAACACTGCACTGCAGGGAATAACAAGCAAGCCTTGGTCTGGGGCTTGAAACATCTTCCAACTAAGGAGAAAAAAAAAAGAGCTTTATTACCACCACCAAAACCAGACTGGCATCTGTATCCACAACTATAAGGCACGCCGCAAATTATTTAATTTAATAAACACTGTAATAATAAAGTATTTATTTTGTATAATGAAGTGTTAGTGATTAGAAACCAAACACACATTGGGCATGCTGCTGCTGCGGTTTCTCTTGAACCCTTGCCAGTATCACTCAAGGCTAAATATGTCTGCAGCAGGTTGAGAGTAAGTTCCTAGCCTTGTTTTGATCAGCCTGTCAAGTGTTTTAGCTGCCATTCGAGTTTCTTTATATCACACTATAATTGGCTGCTTTCTCAAGGTGCAGCAAAGGGTGGGGGGAAAATAAAGAATAAAAAAAGCACACAGCAAAACTCAGGCTCCTTTTGCAAAATCCTCCACTGCAACTCTGCTGCTGCTTTTCTGAAAGCTGATTTCAGTAGCAAAGGGCATTTTGTAAACAGCTGGTGAAAAGAGACTGGAACCAAAAGGCAGCTTGCATTAAACTCCCCAAGAAAACCTTATTTACCCTCATGTGCTTGCTTTGTAGCATCGATCAAACCACTTCCAGCTCCCAGGAGAGGCCTTCAGAAAAATAAAGGGAATAAAAAAATAAATAAAAAATAAAAATGAAAAGCAAATGACATCCTTCAGAGCCCGAATGCACCTGAGAGCCCTCGGAACAGCACTTGCTGCATCACACACGCTTGCCACGCTGACCTCCCTGCCCAAGTTCAACCTCCAGGGTCAAGCAGATGCCCTCCAGCACTGTCCCCGCTTGCCCTTGGTTGTCAAGTCTGGGGAAGAGGTTTGATCAGAGAATGCAGGCGAGGTGTCCCGCTCCCCGGCACCTGAACCCATCCTTCAACCTCAGCTCATTGATTTGCAGATGTCGGGAGAGAGCAGGGAAAAAAAAACAACCCACAAGGGTATAAGGGACAATCCATCACGGGTGGCACAGGACATGGAGAAACGCGCCCTCCAGAGGGCTCGGCTTTGATTCCAGGCTGCCAGCACGATCCTCTGCCACCTCACTGCCAGCACGATCCTCTGCCACCTCACTGCCAGCACGATCCTCTGCCACCTCACCACCATCACCAGGGACAGGTAGCCTCCGAGCCTTGGCTTTGGTGGAGCACACATCCCTGCTGCACCCCCAGCTTCGAGCCCCAGCTTTGGTGGGGCACACATCCCTGCTGCACCCTCAGCTTCTGTGGTGACGCTCTAAACACAAGGGAAGACAATTTGTCAGTGACCATTTTGAAGAGAGCACTGGCTACAGCTGCCAGGGGACCTTCCTGCCTTCTTCCATCACAGCACCCTATTTATTTACACTGGAAATGAACGTGGAAATGAACGAAGCAAATGCAGAGCTGCCTCTCTGGGATTCTGGGAATTTCTTCCCCCTGAAGGACCAGTTGCTGCTCAGACATTGGAGTCTGCAGTGTCACTGTTCAGGCAGCAACTGGGTCTTCAGGTGCCAGAGCCATGTTGAAACAAGAAAGGAAGCGTGCACTTTCTGTGGTTGCTTCTCTGAGAAGCAGAAATAAGCAATGAAGAATCACACAGTCCTGTCCTGAAGCCGCTCGGATCAGAGCCCAGACTCACTCTCACCTGACAGCAGCACAGTCAAAGGTGTATCCCACACTTCTGCACTTTGTCCTTTCAGTGTGACAACACCACCCAGTACACAAATAAACACGAAGAGGTAAAGCAACCTGTTTAGTTATAAAGCACTGGCTTGACGGGCTCTTTTCACTTTCCCAGGGAGTTCTGTACTGACAACACACATTTCCTTTCTGCTACACGGTGGCACCAGCACCTGCAAACCCAATTGCTCCCTGAACAGTGACACTGCAGACTCCAATGTCTCTCACACCACCCACACCCCTGGGAGACGTAGATGAATGGTGTGGGATACCAGGAGCTGGTAAATGTAGAAACTGTTCCACCTCACTGTGGGTTGCTCTGTTTCTGGTCCCTTTTCTTCCTCTCTTTAGGTCAGCTGTCTGTCACCACGGCAAGGCACAAAAGAGAAGGAGAGCACCAGTACTGGCATTCTAATGAGAGTGGGGATGCTGACACCCACCCTGCCTCCTAAGTTTTCCCTCCTGATGCCTTTCCTGCAAGGCTGCAAGAAGCTGGTGATTTGCAAACTCTCTCATATCGCCGAGTCTAAACAAACAGATCTGTTAACACTTGTTTCTCCACAGAGGAAGAGCAATGTTTCCACACAAGTGATGAGTACCAGTATCTCTCTTACCTGGGCTGCAAGAAACCCTAAAGGCTGCATTCTGTCATGTAACATAATACAAAACACTGAGGACATAGGATGGCAAGGGAATAATGCAAGCTACTAAAAATGAAATATCCAACAAGCAGCATAGCTTCAAGCAGCACGTTGCTAACAAGCAAGAGAAAAATCCAGTATTTCCACCTTTCCTGGTACTAAAAAATTAACAACCCTTATTCTAGCTACAGATGCTCTTAGTGGGTACTTAGAAAGGTCCACCCTCTGGTGAGAAACCCTCAACATCACGAGGAGCAGCAGCGTAGCGTTCCAATTACGTACGTCACGCTTAAATAAGCTGTAGCCTCCAGAAGAGCACGTTTCCCCCAGACTGAGTATCCACCTGAAAGTGGTTTTTTAACAGTTTGTGAACCACACACAGCCAGTGGGCTGAAGAGGCAGGAATTCTTTAAGAACTTATTTCCAAAGTTGCTCTAATTACAACACACGAGGTCTCGCTTGCTGAATTTCAAAGACAAGGCGCCATCCCTCCAGGCTTACCATCTGCGCGCTGAATTCGGGTAACATGATGCATGTCGCTCCCACCCAGAGAGGACAGAGGAGCTTATTGATCACCCCGTGGACATGATGTAAAGGCAGCACGTGCAGAATAACATCCTCCTTCTTCCACTCCCATTTTTCAACTAGCCCTGTGGTCTGCAGGAAAAAAAAAACAACCATACAAGCCAGTGTTAGTGCAGGAGGAAAGATTCTCACCACTTGAAAAGCCCAAGATATCCAGGCCCCAGATCCCCTGGGCACAGCTGGCGGCAGGAATCTCAGACCTCCTGGAATGATGCCTGGGCATAAGAATCTTTCCTTTAGGGTGAGCATGAGTAAAATCCTCACCACAACAGCAGAAAACAAGAGGAACGCCTTCTGCATCTCGACAGTATGTATTTTAACATATATATCAGCAAAATCCTTCCTCATTACTGAGAAATAGTCAATGATTTTAAGCAGGGACTACAAAATTATTAGCCTGCTGCTGCACATGCAGAGTTGGCAGAAAAAATAATCAAAAACTAATTTTCCCAGAACTCTGTTGATATAGTTTGGACATCATGACATTGGGCTTTTAGCACCTGTAAGGGATAGTCAGTAGGAGCAGAAAATCACTGATTTTATGTTAGTAAAAAGTAGATTTCATGTTAGCAAAAAAAATATATCAAGCTTCTAAATACTTTGCTATGAAGGGATAATTATCTAAAGCATTAGACCTCGGGCTTCTGGGTGAACAACGCCCTTCAGAGCCCAGCATTAGCAACTGGAAAGCTTATTTCCAGCCATCTAAAAATAATTTAAAAAAAACCCAAACCATTTGAACAGTGGAATTTAGTCATGTCATTCACAACCTTCTTCCACAGGGCAGGGGGGCAGGTTTTAAGCTTTCTGCAGCACAAAAGATGGAGACTGCTCAGGCCACCTCCCAAATGATCAGCATATTTGTAAGGGAACAGATTCTTTGCCCAATATAGCCAAGCCCTGGCTCTATCCATCAAGGCTTTCATACCACTCCCAACACTGCAGTATCTGAGCACCCAGAAGAGCGGAAGCTCCCCGAGGTGTCCGTAAGGCACGATGCATTCCCTGCCCTTTTTCCCTAATGGCACCAGTCTGTGAGTTGCAGGCGGTGCTCACCAACTGGTGAGGTAGTCAGCAGCCTCATGCAAACTTTTAATTCCTTTTGGCTCAGAGAGCTAATGGATTTTTTTTGCCTTGGGGATATATAGCTGAATAATGCACAGACTTCACACGGTACTGTACTGGGCTGGGCTGTTATATTCCAACCAGGGGCAAAGATTCTTTCCTAGTCGCAGTGAAGAAAGTGAACTGCAAAGAAAGCAGTCTTTTCACAACAGGTCTCAGCTCTTCTTGCTTTCCTGGAAAGAAGAAGAGTCCATCTGCCCCTGGCTGCAGCGCAGCAACATCAAAAGGACAAAGTTTAGAGCCTAAAAACCTTCTTCTGTGTGTTCACCTTAAAAGTGTTGAGGACTTTTGAGGTACAACCCCACAGCTCTGTGCAGGGACCCAGATGCAGTAAGGTGTGTTGTGCTTTGGGGTTTGCAACCCCAAGTCACCTCTGAAGGCCAAGATCTCTGTCACTTGGCAGGAGTTTGCAAAGGGAAAGCAGCACTCACCACAGCTTGCACGTTCTCATGGGTGCTGAGGACACCTTTTGGTCTTCCCGTCGTCCCACTAGTGTAGATTATCATGGCTCCTCTGTCTTTCCATGAGGAGCAGGTCGTCAAGGGACCCTCTTCCACCGCTGTAGGACTTGTGGATCCATCACTATGAGACCTAAGAAGTGGTAGAACAGGGACTCCCAGCTTCTCAGCACTAGGGGATATTTTCCCCACGTACTCCTCTGCTGCGATGACTAGAGCGCTCTGTGAATCCTGAATCACGTACTCCAGCTCCTGCACGGGGTGTTTCTTGTAAAGGGGCACTGCTATGCCCCCACTCATCCAGGATGCCCACTGGGCCACCACATACGAGGCATCGTTAGGACACAAAAATGAGATCCTCTCTTCCTTCAAGTCCCTGCTGGAACATTCCAGAGCTCTACAGATCTCCTGGGACAAGCGTAGACTCTGTCTGAGAAGGTCTCTGTAAGTGTGCTCACCATTCTGGTCAATGATGGCAATTTTATCCCCAAAAGCTAAAGCCCTAGTGAAGACAGGGGTAACATCACTGCTGCAGGCTGCCCGTGCGGTTTGCAGAGCCCTGTGGTGGTGACAACCAGTCTTCTTCTGTCCACACAACCCCCATCTGACACGGTGCAAGTCCCAGACAAGGCATCGAAGGGGTCGTTGCGCTTGGGGGAAGAGCAGGGAGACCAGCATCCTGCCAGCACCTCTTGTTTTGAAGTGATTCTGCAGAAAGCAATTATAGGAACAGATAAGTATGTGCAGTAATTACCCAGGGGTTTATTCCCACAAAGGAAAAGTGGCAGCCTTCATTTGAATAATACCCACTGTATTATTAATGTTTATGCTTCAGACTGCTGCATCCCCAGCACGCTCAGCCCTGCCCAGATGGAACAGGAGACAGAGACCCTTCCCTACGCAGCCTCCACGTCCTTAAAAACCAGTCTTAACTTAAATTATGAAATAGTTTTCATCGATCAATATTAGGACACTAAGTAGTGGCTGCTTGAGGCACCATACTAACTCAGCTGGACCAGCATTTGAAGTAATTAAATAATTACAGAAGCCCAGAGTTGCCTCAATTGGAAAAGACCTTTAAGATCATCAAGTCCAATCATGAACCCAACACTGACAAGTCCCCAACTAACCCATGTCCCTCAGCACTGTGTCTACACGACTCTTCAATCCCTCCAGGGATGGGGACTCCACCACTGCCCTGGGCAACCCCTTCCAATGCCTCAGAACCCTTGCAGCAAAGAAATTCTTCCTCACCTCCAATCTCAACTGCCCTTGGTGCAACTTGAGGCCATTTCCATTTTACCAACAGTATCTAGCTCTCAATTTGTAGTTTCTCCACTTCAATAAACCACTGCCTTGCTCTGTGCTTTGAGTTCAGTAGCACAGAGCTGGACATGAAATCCAAGCCTCCTCAGGTTCAGCCCAGTGGAGGATTGTTTCCTGCTTGAGTTTTCCTTTGAGCAACAGCACATGGAAGTACAGGAAAGTGCCCAAAGCCTCCCAGCTGACAGATCATCCATCACAAACACCACTTCAGCTCAAAACCTTCCTTACGTGACAGACCAAGTGGTTAACAGCTCCCAAACAGCCACAGGCAGCAGGAGCCCACGCCAAGCAGCTGGTTTTCCCAGAAAACAGCAGCAGGGAAGCGCAGCCCCACACACACACTGACCTATGGGCTTGTTAAATCTGAAAGTACCAACCTGGCAGCACCCAGAGCTGGGCAGAGCATCAGGACAAGCTCAACCAGAGTACCAGGCTCCACTCAGAGCTTGATCTGAGCCCAACCCAACCATCACCCCCCAGCCATGACATGATGCACAGAGGCATTTCAACACATAAAAACCTCCAGAAGGGATGAGGGAGGCGTAGCAGCACCATTAAAGGCTTTACAGGAAGATCACGGGCTGGCACAAACATCGTGGATTGTGCCTTTGTGCTCAGACAGCACGATGACATCAACCTATCTGCTCACGGGAGAATTCAGCAAAAAAGCTTTTGTGGTAATAGGTAAGAAGTTCCCAAAGTCTGCTCTTTACCTCTCTTTTCATCACCCTCTGCCTTGCAAAGGAAAAGGTCCATGTAATACTACTGGGCACTGCCTGGATCATCTCACAGAAGCATCAGGGAAAAAGTTAACACACGGTGCAAAATCCCGTAGGAATATAATGAGGAGGCAGAAGCCTCGGGGACTAGGGGAACACTTTGCAGGGGAGACAGCTGGTACACCAGGGATGAGAGGAAGAAGGGATAAATTGAGAGGAGATGCCTCAGAAGAATCCTGACCCCTCTCTGCACAGAGCCTGGCGCTCTGGCTGGAAGCTCAGCAAGAACAAGCACCATCTCCATGCAGAGACCATCACTGATGCCAACAGAGGAGCAGAGAGGAAAAAACAGGGCTGGGGCAGGAGAAAAAGGGATTTACTAGCTAATGGCTGCTACTAACCACCACCACTGAAGTCTCCCCAGAGAGATACTATGACAAGAGAAGAGAGTCAAAGGATGACAACTTCTTGCTCTGCAAGAGTGTACGTGACACTTGCTCGATGCTGGCAATAACAACTTGATTTTTCACAATTTTTTGTTATAAATATCTATTAGCAGAGCAGCTCAACTCAAATCACCTCCCAGCTCAGCTTCTCACCATGGGGAGGAGCTGAAACAAAAGGGATCTGGAGAACTGGCAGCTACTCAGGGAAAAGCTGAGCACAGCTTAACCCAGCTCAGGCTGCTCAGACACATCCACCAGCAGCCTCCACTGACAGCAACAAGTGTTTATTTTTGCACAGACGTTGCTGAGAACCTCATCTCCCATCCACCTTCACAGCATTTTCTCCAGCCAGACATCGGCTTCACACGTATTTTCTTTTGCATATTGACCTCAATTTCTGCTTCTGCAAAAGAAACTTGTGATTGAGTGCGGAAACATCTGGGGGGGGAGAGGTTTTAAACCCAGTAACCATGTGCACTCATCGATATGTACCATCAGGGTGGAAAAAAACCAAAACAGGTCATGACAAAGCTCGCATGACATCTTTCCATTTCTCTGTAGAGACTAAAATACAAAATAAAGAGAGAACACCATCCGTAACCTAAAACAAACCACCTCCTCCTAACCCGTGCCCGAGGCCAGCCCAGCTAAGCCCCCTTGGTGTACTCGCTGTTCCTCGGACGGCTCCGGAGCAGGTGTGAGCTGCTGCTTCAGAACAGCCACTTCCAAAAATCACATTATCCCCTTTTCACCACAGCGCCAGTCCAGAATTAACAGAACAATAAACAGCAGCACCTTTCACAGAATTCCAGAATTTACTTAATTGGAAAAGATCTTCAAGATCATCCAGTCCCATCATGAACCCAACACTGACAAGTCCCCGACTAACCCATGTCCCTCAGCACTGTTGTGTCTAC